AGGCAGGAGGTGGGGGGACGGGGACCCAACACATCATGACACACAACACAGATAAATAGACTGATTCTGACCGGGCCTGGGCGTCTGAAACCTCAAAGTTCACTCTCAGTGACACACCTCCTAATGCTTCCCAAATAGTTCCAGTGACTGGATTCAAGCACACAAGTCTATGGGGCCAATCTCATTCAAACCACAATACCGTGGCCAAATTGGGTAGGTAGAGGAACAAAAATAAAACAAAACAAAACAAAACAACAACAACAAAAAATCAGCCCCTGGCTAAGAACCCCTGCTGTGCATGTCTGTAACTCCAGTGTTTGGCAAGGACGTTCAATGGCCAGTCAGTCAGTCTGACCACAACAGCAAGCTGTGGGCTTCAGTGACAGACTCCATCTTAAAGGAATAAGACAGAGAGGGACAGAAGAAAGCAGTAGGCATTCTTCTCTGGTTCCCTCAGGCAGACAGGTGTGTGCACCCATTCGTATACACATATACAACACACACCCAGACCCAAACAGAGGTCATGAGCCTGTGGGTGCCACAAAGTTGTGGTTTAGTGATAAATGTCCTCTATAGGCTCAGGTATTTGAAAACTGGTCCCCAGGTAGTGGCACTGTTTAGGTAGGTGCTGCAGGCTTGCTGGACTAAATGTATCACTTGGGGCAGGATTTTGCCTCGCCCACTTCTAGACTGCATTCCTTTGGTTTCCTGCTGCCATGCCTCCCATTGTGTGGACTGTTCCTCTGGAAAAGTACCCAAAATAAACTCTTGCACAAGTGCACAAGTTGCTTTTGGTCATGGTGTTCTATTGCAGCAGCAGCAAAGTAACTAATATAACTAAGGCAGAAGACACAGCAGACACTTGTGAGAGGCACAAACCCAAATTCTTGGTGTGTCTCCTTTTGATACGCAGTCTTCTTTCTAGGAATACTGATGCTTAACCTCTGTGTTAAAATCTTTTAGCCTCCAACCCAGCTTCCTAAGATTCTTTTTTGCTTTTAAGTTAAACACCGTCTTCATCTAAGCAGCTGTCTCTAAGAAGCCCGCTGGGTGTTGCTGGTAACAGAGTCGTTCCTGCACTTTCTGGCTCACTGAAACCGACAAACTTTCTCTACAGACAGATTTCTTTGGAGAAATGGCCTTGGCAAGAGGTCTACAAGAAACAAATGGGGTAAGTGTGAAAAGGAAGAAGCAGTCCTAGCAACCTGAACTCTGAGTAAAGCATATAGGGAATAAAAAAAAGCCTACGGTGGAGAAAGAGGAGACAGCAGGGAAGTAGGCAGGAGGTCCAAACATATAGGATGGTGTAGAAGCCTAGACTGTCTCTAATTTATTACTGTGGTTCAATTTTATAATGACATGAAATGAATACCACATTCAGTAGAAACCAAAGTTTAGATTTTGAATTTAAACTATAGTTCATATTTTAGATTTTTGAGACACAAGGCAAATCTCTTAACTGTACCCTCCTTGCAAAATCAATAACCAAACTATATACTTACAATACAGAGTGGTACAGAAAGAAAAATGGGGCACAGTGAGGAAACGTTGGACCAAAGCAAGACTGTGGGTCCATGTCCTGTGCCTGGAACTTTTAATTTCAAAGGGGGCTTAGATGGCTCAGTCCTCCACCTCCCTGTTGCCTGCAGCATCCACCCTGTGCTGTTTCCACACCCTGTACTAAGTCTAGGCAGATGTTTCATGGCTCCAGCGTCTTCACTAACTGGGGCTCCTCTAAGGAGTCACTTTCACTACAGGCAATGGCTTTTTAGGGCCTTTACTTTATGCAGTGATTCCAGCCATGTAACAAGTTGCCTGGCTTCCCTCAGAGGCTCTCTGAAACCATTCAGGAAGAATCCAGGAGCCCTCACTCTTACACCTTTCATGACTCCAAAGCTACCACCACATAGAAAACTGCTGCGCTTTGGTTGCTTTGCTGGGATGGGCCCTGGGCTCCTGGGATCACAACTGCAGCAGCTTTTGTGAGCAGCTGCGTTCCAGGAGCAGAAACCTGAAGCCCTTCTCTCTCACAAGCTGGCAGCTGGCTAGGGGAAGTCCATGGCACTCTTTGTCCTGGTGCAGAGCAGGAGCCTCCCCTAACTGTGCTAATCTCATTAACAGTTATAGCCTCTCTTCAGTTATAGCCTGGGCTGTAATATAAGCTGTCTAGTGCTCCCTTTCTCTCCAAACTACATTTTCTATTTCCTTTTGCCTCACTGTTCTTTGTTATTATTGACCTGGGTAAGGGAAACCAGTATCAATCACACCAGACTCAATGTCATGTACTATTGAAGGTTTCTCTGCAAAAGAAATGAATCCAACTCAGGACACAGGCAGGAAATAGCTAGATTTTAACAAAACATCATAGGATTGGCTGAGTTAGTATTACAGTCCCTGTTTCCCTTGAGCCGGGCCTCCACAGTCTACCTTACTCTCAACACTACTGCTAAACTCTGCTTATAGCACTCAACCTCTTATCTAGTCAAAGTCCCAAAGTCTTCCATATCCCCCCAAACACGGCCAGGTTCTTCACAGCGACAGCCCCCTCTCTGACACCAACTTCTGTCCCAATTACTTTCTGCTGTCGTGGTAAAAGCAACGTAGGGAAGAGTTTTTATTTTGGCTTACGATTCCAGTGGGAGAGTCCATAATGGCAGGGGAGACAAGGCAGCAGGCAACGGGAACAGGAAGCTGAGAGATCACATCTTCAACTGAAATCATGAAGCAGAGAGAATGCAAACCAGAAGTGACAGTTATGAACTCTCAAAGCCGGCCCAAATGATGTACCATCTTTCCAAACAGTGCCACTAGATGGGAATCAACTGTTCAAAGACCTCATCTTTGGGGGTTCATTCCTCAGTTGAACACATCAGCCATATGTTTCTGGTGTCTATCTCAGAGGGGTGCTAAGAAATTTAGGAAGATAACAGAGCGGCTTCTGATGATATAGGATTATAGCTAGGGCAGCAGTTCAGGTTGGTGTAAAATAAAAACATAGATATTTACATTATGATCCATAACAGTAGCAAAATTGCAGTTATAAACTAGTGTAAAGTTATAAATGAAAATAACTTTATGGTTGGGAGGTCACCATAACACGAGGAACTGCATTAATGGGTCACAGCATTAGGAAGGTTGAGAATGACTGGTCTAGGGGAATTAAGATTTTTTACTGTAAGTAAAATTTCAGTTTTGGGTGCCATTCCTAGAAAATATTTTGGAACTACCAAGACCATAAATGCTTAGGCTTAAACATGGCTGTTAGTTTAGTATTCTCTTAGGAAAAATACAAACAGCAGGGTGTGGTGGTACACACCTTTAATCCTAGTATTGGGAGGCAGAGGCAGGCAGAGCTCTGTGAGTTTGAGGCCAGCCTGATCTACAAAGTGAGTTTCAGGCTAGCCAGAGTCACTTGGTAAGACCATGTCTTAAACTTTTGGGATTGATTCACTCCTCCCACCATGTGGGTCCTGGGGATTGAACTTGGGTCCTCAGTATTGCAGAGGGTAAATTAGGCCTTTACTCATTGAGCCATCTCATTGCCCAGGAAGTTTTGTTAAAAATGCTGGCATTCTTGACTTTGACTTGACATGAGACTTCAAGAAGACCCTAAATGAAGGAGTTCTTTTCCCTTCCCAAGGCTGCATAATTTCCACTCTCGATCCCGCCACAGACCTGTTTCACAGCCATAACTAATTGCATAATTGTGTAAATAACTATCTTAATACAATATTGATCTCCTTTGCTTAGAAAGTAAATCTGTGTAGCCCGGCTCTGTCTTATAGTTGCCTATCAGCACATCTAATAGGAGCACACACACACACACACACACACGAAAAAAACCCAAAAACCTTCACTGAATTAAATGCACACCCAACTACAATAAGAACAGTATTTCTAGATAATAGATTTAATATGGTTTTATTTTGAGAACTTTCAGAGTTCTTCCCCGAGTACATAATGAAAGAGCACCCATCAACTTAAAATCTTAAGCTATAAATTCACTTCCATAAAGATCCGAATTTATCGAGAAGCACGTGACACTGGGGAAAAAACACATTTTCTAGGGATAAACAAACAAACAAAAAACCGACTTAGGTGGCTTAATTCATATTATAAACATAATGAAAAGAATGTCTAGGTCCGAATTTTCTTGTCGGAGCTTTTACTACCAGTCGGTTCGTCCCACTCCAGCAATTTTTAACAAACATGTCCCCTACCACTGCTGTCAACAGACTTAAGGCTTTCATCTCAAATAATTTGTGAATTTATGTTGGAAAAGATTTTACAGTTTGAAAAGGGGGCTCTGCCTCGAACCTTCACCTTATTATGCTACACCTATTGGTTTACACTTCACACTTCTATCTTACTCGTGTAGCTCAAGCTGGTCTCGAACCCCCATCCTGATCCTGCCTCTGCTACTGAGGCCCGGGCCACCTCGTCCAACCCACTCAACTTTGAGACTGGCCCTTCGTTTATAAGTGCGAAATAACATATGAAAGATACCACACTTTAAAAATCAAAATCAGAGCTAATCTTTCCTTTAGCAATGGCAGTAGGAGACCACCCCGTCACGACTGAGGGGCTTCGAGTTTCCGTAGCCACCACTCGGGCCTAGAAGCAGGTCATCTGGCTTTCAGGAAAGCCTCACTCGACCTCGGCGACACCCCGAGTCCCGAGCAAGGAGAAAAAGGACGAGGTTAGTCGCGACTTACTCCACAAACGCCCGGGAGCAGAGGCAATGGATCATGTCCTCCTCGCCGCGGTCTTCAATGAAGAGCAGCATTTCGGCCACGTGGCTCCACTTCTCGCAGCACATTTCGTCCTCCGGGTTGGCTCTCCCGTCCCCTGCGGGGCTGGGCCTCTGCTCGGTTGCTGGAGACAGAGAGAAGACTCACCGGCCTGGGCGGAGGAGCCGGAACGCACCCGGGAACGCTCGAGCCAGAAGCCCGCCAGGCGCGCCACCGGAAGCAGCAACGGCGACTACCGGAAGGGGCGGGGAGAGGGCGGTGTCACAGCCAAGGTGGCCCGGGCTTCTTCCTCACGGGTGCTTAAGCCCTGATCGTCCGCCTCGTCCCGCGGCTCTGACGCTGAGTAGCTGCCGACGTCGCCGAGGACGGTCTGGCTTTCTGTGCCTTCCGCGGCAGGTGCGTGGTTCCCCCGCCACGGAACTCCCCGCGCTGCTCCAGCCTGTGGCAGGCGTGGTGTCGGGGTCGCGGGACAGGAACGGAAAGGCGGGCTGGTCCCCTGGGCTGCGCTTCCCCGGCGGGGAGCGGAGTTACTGCCACACCAGTCATCCGCGGGCTCTCGGAGACCCCTGCACATCCTCTCCGCTCCCGGACCTTCCCGCAGCTTCTCTTGTGAGGCTGGGCTTCTCTCGCTCCTGGTGATGGAGCTGGAGGGAAGCGTGAGGCTCTAGGGTGGTTGGGGTGCCGACCGTGCAGGCTTGGGATCCTAGTTTGTGCTCTTTAGTAACGTGTGACCCTGGCGAGTGACTTGGCCCTTTCTGAACAGCATCTGATCATCTATAAAAAGGGGCCGAACAGCAATAATTACCCCGTGAGGTTGAGGACAGGATCAAAGGAAGCAACCCTTATAAACTTTTATATTTGCAAATTCGAGTCGGTCCAGACCTTGTAGATGCTGCGTTGCTTTGGTCGCTGGGTTTTCCAATCATTAAACATTTAGTAAGAAATAATAGAACATACCTTGGATATAGAAAACTTAGAGTAGTACTGTATTTGGAGAGAAAACAAGGCATTCAGTACTAAGTGCTGCCTGAGACTGAACAACAGCTCCTTCAAAAACAAAACAAGCTTTTGCTCTAAGATTGTTGGATCATTGAGGACTTAGTTTATGCTATTAACTATTTATGGGCTATATAAGAACTGAAATGAAATCTAGAAATTTAGAATGCTCATTTGTATTCGAGCCACATTTGTGAATCTATGGAGATGCTTTAATTTTTCAAGGAAATGTTTATTCCCACTTTATTAACACTGCTTTATTTTAGGTCAGAAATATATTTAGGAGTTAGAAGGAAGAAGTACTGCACTTCCAGGCACAACAGTCTAGATGTGTATTTTAGCTGGGCATGGTTGCACACATCTTGAATCTCAGACTTAGAAAGCAGAGGCAAACAGGTTATATGAGTTTAAGGCCAGCTTGGTCGCGAAACAAGTCAGGACAACACAGTTAGACTCTGACTCAAAGTAAATAGAAAGATAGATAGACAGATAAGTAGATAGATAGATGAATATATTACAGCATTATTGGCATGAGTGATTATACTTAGAATATAGTGTAGTATAGAGAACAGCAGTCATCAAAAGAGTGGAAGATTTTAGCCAAAAATAGAACATTTTTTTTTCTTTCGAGACAGGGTTTCTCTGGCTTTGGAGCCTGTGTTGGAACTGTGGACCACACTGGCCTTGAACTCACAGAGATCCGCCTTCCTCTGCTCCCGGAGTGCTGGGATTAAAGGCGTGTGCTACCACTGCTCGGCTAGAAGAGTATTTTTTATATTTAAAATAAAATCTTTGAAAGGTAATGCATATCAGAACCTGGAGAGAAAAGCTTGAACTTGTAATTTGTTTTAATTTGTTTTCCCCTTTTCTTGTTAAATGACACCTGGGCATTGGGGAGAAGGATTACTGGTTAAAGGTGCTTGCTGAAAAGCATGAACTGACTCATGAAAGTTGTCCTCCACTTCCACACCAACATGGAACATGCTCACTCATGCACCCTCCCTATAGGGTCAGGTAATTGTTTTTTTTTTTTTTTTTGCTTTTTTTTTTTTGTTTTTTGTTTTTTTGATACAGGGTTTCTCTGTAACTTTGGAGCCTGTCCTAGAACTAGCTCCTGTACACTAGGCTGGCCTTGAACACACAGAGATCCATCTGCTGGGATTGAAGGTGTGCGGCACCACCACCCTGCCAAACTGTGCTTTATTAGCTGTTTTGGGGTAATCATTTTGTGAGAAACAGTTTTCCTACTAGACTTTCAAAATTAACTCTTGCTTTTGGCTGTGCCCCCTACCCATTAGATCATCCCGTCTCTATCCTTCTTCCCCTGCTCTTGTCCTGGGTTATAGTAACCACTATTCTTTTTGTTTGTTTGTTTTGTTTTCCAGACAGGGTTTCTCTGTGTAGCCCTGGTTGTCCTGGAACTCACTTTGTAGATCAGCTGTCTTCAAACTCGCAGTGATCCACCTGCCTCTGCATCCTTGAGTGGTTGAGTGCTGAGATCAAAGGCGGGCGCCACCACCCAGCACACTACTCTTTATCTTTGAGATTGATTTCGTGTATTAGAGCATGAGATGGTACCATCGAATTTAGCGCGAGACTTCCCACCTCAGTTAACATAGCCCTAAAGAAAAGTTCTCACAGACCTTCACAGAGATTTGCTTCTTAGGCGGCCGACAGCCAGGAGTAGCTACAGAGCAATGCTGGGTATTTCTCTTCTGCTCGTTGGTCACTTGTGTTATCTCCTGAGAAGTGACTATTTAAATCATTGGCCTTCTTTTTTTAATGGGATTATTTGGACTTTTTGTTGTTGTTGTTGAACCTTTTGAGGGCTAAGTACAGTCTAAAAATAGCCTGCTGTGGGGGGAACTTTAGGGTGTAGCTGTTTTTCCCATTGTCACTTTTTTGCTTTTGATGTTTGTGCTTTGGGGGCACAGTTTTCTCTGTCTTTTTTTCTCGTAACTTTAAACCGTAAAGTCTAATATTGCTGCTTTTGTTGAAAATAAAAGTTATGCTGTGATCATCCTCTGGGAACAGAATAAACCTGGTTTTCTCACAGATAAATGCTATTGGTTACAAGGAAATCAGACCTAATACCCTGTTAGTTCAAGTGTGTACCATCACAAAGCTAGCAAGGTAATCTTGGTAACAAGACAATATGTAATTGCTTTTGTGCGAGGGTCTGATTTAGTCCCTCTCTTTTATTCTTTTCCTGACTCTCATAAAGAATCTGAGAGGACTTTCTTAAGATTATGCAATATGAAATGATAAACTGTGTTTAGATCAGACTTCGAACCAGTGAAAATATGAAAGAAGGAAATCTTGTGTAGATAATTATATAAGATTAATATCACTGTATTGTTTAATATATTTGACAATTTGAGTGACAGCCTATTAGTAAGAAGTGACAGCCATTGAGACACCCTGCATTTCTGCATCCCCCTTGTAGAAAGGAGCTGCGGGCAGGCCTGCTTTTCGCCTCACCCAGCTCCCGCACAGCTAGCTTAGTCCCAGAAATAACAACACATAAGTTGTATTCATTTAAATACTGCCTGGCCCATTATCTCTAGAGAATTAGTTACTGGCTAACTCTCACATCTTGATTAACCCATTTCTAATAATCTGTATCACACCACGAGGTGTGGCTTACCGGGAAAGATTCAGCATGTCTGACCTGGTGGCTGGCTCCATGGCGTCTGGCTCATAGCCCTCTTCCCAGCATTCTGTTCTGTTTACTCCGCCTACCTAATTTTCTGTCCTATCAAGGGGCCAAGGCAGTCTCTTTATTGACCAATGAAAATAACACAATAGACAGATAACCCTCCTCCATCATTCCCCTTTCAGATGCAAATGAGCAAGTTCATGTGGGCTTTAGTAGAATGGTGTAATGGTATAATCAACAGTCTTCAGCTACGCAGAGGCATCCTGAATGTGACTAACCTGTGACACCCCTGGGGCTGTCATTATTTGTCAGATTTGTGCCTGTCTCCTGCCACTTAGTTCATGGAAATGTCAACTTAGCTATAATGATTTTTAATTAATGATATATTTCACTTGTTTACTGTGTTTCCAAAGCACTTATATTGAAGATAGAGACAAGATATTTGTGTAATTTCTGGTAAGTCAAGTACTTGTTTTAGACAATGACTTCATACAAAACTTGTAGCTATGTTTTGAGTCATTTATGTTTTAATAGAAATTTTAGTGACTGTAAGATAAATGGTATATGTATAATTTTAAAAATTCTGTGTATCAAAAGAGCAGACAGAAACCTGTTTCTCCATAAAAGAAAATATCCATACATGTATGTTATCATTTCCTAAAGCTTTGGGTTGCTTTACTTAATCAAGTACTGATGTTTTCCTTTGTGAGGGACACAGTTGGTCTCAGTGTAAAATGGAAAATGCTGTGCATGATCCACGGAAGATGAGCTAGAGTAACGTCTGAGCTGGGTTCACTCTGCGTCAGTTTTCCTGTCTCAATCACAGCTTGCGGGTTACTTTAGAAGCTATTCCCTGCCAGGTGTGGTGGTGCACTCCTTTCATCCAAGCACTGGGGGTGGGGGGGGGCAGCAGCAGAGGCAGGCGAATCTCTGTGAGTTCAAGGCTAGCCTGGTATACATACTAAGTTGCTGGACAGCCAGGACTATACAGAGAAAGCCTGTCTCGGAAACAAAACAAAACAAAACCAAAGGGCTAAACCCAACACTTTTCATAATTTTGTAGACAAAATGTTATCATTGTCACATTAAACATTAAAAATCTATTCATCTTTTATGTGAACTAAAATATTTAACTTTGTGTGTGTGAAGAGTATAACTGAATTATTTTTCCCTTCTAGTGTTGAGATTAAAACATACGACAATGAAGAAAGAGACAGAATTTGGGGTTTTCATCTGAAGAAAATGACAGACAACAACCAAACCTGTGCTGCAGGACAGGCCTCCGTGCCCTACATGACTTGTTTGATTCACGTGCTTGAACAGTGGCTGGGTGTGGAACAATTGGAGGACTATTTGAATTTTGCAAGCCATCTCTTGTGGGTTTTTACCCCACTGATACTTTTAATACTTCCTTACTTTACCATCTTTCTTCTCTACCTTACCGTGGTTTTCCTGCACATCTATAAGAGGAAGAATGTGTTAAAGGAAGCCTACTCTCATAATTTATGGGATGGCGCAAGGAAAACAGTGGCCACTCTGTGGGATGGACACGCAGCGGTTTGGCATGGTAAGCAGGGATACCGTGGTGTCTGTTGCCATGGTGTGGAGCACTGACACCATGCTTCTGTTTGTTGATTGGGGGGTTACCAAAAAATAGGATGGAAGGGATATTTAAAATTCCTTGTTAATCTGTTTACATGTATTGTGTATATGTATGTCTTTAAATGATTTTTCCTAAACACATTTGTTTCTGTTGCAGAATTACATAGCTCTCTCTCTCTCTCTCTCTCTCTCTCTCTCTCTCTCTGTTTGTTTTGTTTGTTTTTCGAGACAGGGTTTCTCTGTGTAGCTCTGGTACCTGTCCTGGAACTAGCTCTTGTAGACCAGGCTGGCCTCAAACTCACAGGAATCTGCCTGCTGAGTGCTGGGATTAAAGGTGTGCACCACCACCACCCGACAGCGCTGTCAATTACAATGAACTGAAATATGAAAATTGGTGTTTAAAGCATCTATAAAAACTACTTAAAACTGTCAAAATTTCTTCTTTTCTTACCACACAAAGTAATAGCTTTTCTTGTGACATTTTCGTATGTATGTCGTTATACTTTGTTCTTCTTCATGGCCAGTTCCTCTTCCTCTCCGCATCCCCATCTCCTTTCTATCCCTCCTGCTTTAAGCAGTCCTTCTGCTTTTATTTCACATGTATTCCATAGCTGTCTTTTATTCCCTTATTCCTTTTCCCCCAGACCTCTTCCTCTCCTTACTGACCTCTTTCTATTTTGTAGAAACTGCTTTTTCTTGTTGTTTTTAAATATTTACTTATTCTGATTGTGTGTGTATGTGCACGTGTGGGCGACTGTGCTGGTAGAAGCCAGAGGAGGGTGTCAGATCCCTTGGAGCTGGAGCTGTGGGCTGTTGTGAGCCCCTCAATGGGTGCTGGAAACTGAACTCTGTTCCTCCGCGACAGCAGCAAGTCTGCAGAGCTGTCTTTGCAGCCACACCCGGTTTTATTTTTTCAGATGTGAAGAAGGCAGGGATGGGAGGTGGGGGGCAGGCGGGAGGGTCTTGCTATGTAGTCTAGCCAGCCTGGAATTTTCAGTCCTGCTTTCGCTTACTGAATATTATTGGGGTTATAGCCAGTGCAACCTTACTTGACTAGACTTGTTTTTCTTTTTCTTTTTCTTTTTCTTTTCCTTTTTTTTTTTTTTTTTTTTAAGTTTTACTTCTTAGAGACAGGGTTTCTATGAAGCCCTGACTGTCCTGGAACTCTGTGTAGAACAAACTGGCTTTGAACTCACAGAGATCAGCATGCCTCTGCTTCCCAAGTGCTGGGATTGAAGGCGTGTGCTACTATTATTCTGTTCGGAGTAAATTTGGTTCTACCAGTGTGACGTTTTTAAAGAATGAACTATTATATCATAGTAGTAAACATAAATATTAGTTGAATAGTGGTGTTTCCCGGATAAGTGAGAGGGCTGTCCACTACTTCCTTCCTGACCGGAGAAGCCGTGACACCGTGCACTTAGTGACCAGTCGCTCAGCTTTTGCCGCCGTGGAAACTGCCTCCCATTGTCTGTTTCCAAGGGCTTGTGCCTTCCTTGGCCAACTTTTACTTCATTTTCCACCAGTCCCTTATTTATAGGTGGGATGCATTTGGACTTTATAAAAATGCCAGAGATTCGATCCATATGTGCCTCAATCCATTTCGTTTCCATAGCAGAATACTTGAAATTGGGTAATTTGTAAATGGCTCAATTCTAAATGTTTTAAGAGCATAGGCGGATACTTCTGGTTCCTGGCGAAAATCTCAGGTGGCTTCATGCATAGCATAAAGTGGAAGGGCAAGCAGGTGCCTAAAGAAAAAAACAGAAAGGGTAACTTTGCTTTATAAAAGCCTGCTGTCTTAAAAAGTTTTCTAACACATATTAGCGCTGCAGTTGGGATTCATTGATAGATTCCCACACGTGCTTACATTGTGTGTTCATGTTGTCCATCTACCCCTCTACTTCACCCCTCCTCGTCTAGTCTCTAGTGACCGTTGTTCTATACTGGACTTTGGTAAGTTCTGATTTGATGAATGGCTCAGCATTTGGAGTACCTGTTACTACTGCAGAGGACCCAGGTTTGCGTCCTGGTACCCACCACTGATCACCTCTTTGGCTAACGAGTTGTGGTAAAACTATATTCATATTAAAATATCTGTAAATCCTTTTTGTTTTTTGAGTGCTCTAAACACTGGTAAATACTTTTATTCACTTTTACTTCTTTAAACCTTGTATTCTGGTAGATTAAGTTTATATTCTATCTCTGTTTTGCTCCTCAGGAAACAGAGGTTGAGAGAAGTTATATCCGAGGTACACTAGGAAGCAGAGTGAGGGTACAGTCTTGGACAAAGGGGTCTAGACCCCTGCTTGAAACTGTACAGTATATTGGTCCTGCACTGGGGATTCAGGGCCAGAAGTCATGGTGTAGAGGTTTGCACACAGGAATCGTGCTTTTGACGCTTCGATTCTTAGTGTTTCCTGTTAAATCCCTGCTGGCCAGTCCAGATCTCCGGCACCCTCAGTGTTTGCACGAAGCAGTGTCCTAGCATGCACATGCCTGTCGCAGAGTTGCAGCTCGATGGTCTTTAAAACAGTGACAGTTACCGACATCATTATGGATGCTTGTTAGGAATTTACATCTTCCTCCAATATATATATATATCAACTCTCTCTATATAATATATATCATTTCAAGATAACATATTTTAAACAATTTGAACTTGCATGTGGGTAGATAAGACAATACAGGTAAATTTAAGCTTATTTTTATACTGGAATTCCAAGGTAGTTTTAGATATGTATTTATGGTTTAGAGGAAATAAAATATTAAAGTTCACTTTAATATTTTATTGTGATGAGACATTTTATCTGGACAAACGATAACTTTTTAAAAAGCTGATCTTTTGACATACATAAAAGTTATTTATGTCTACATTTGGATTTTGTTTTACTCAAATCAATTTTAATGTGTGCTTTCTAAACTTCAGAAATGTAAAAAAAATAATCATTGTAAAAATACAATAGAAGAAAAAACTATCTAAAATTTACCATGCCAGTGAACATAGTTAAAATTTTGGTCTATTTATCATTTGTATATATGTGGCTAAATAGTACTTTTCATGCCATTAATCCATCTCATAAATATGGCTTTTAATAATTTATTTAGTTACTTGTTACTGAACAGGTTTTGTTTGTTTATAATGATTTTACTATTTAAAAATACCTTTATGCCAGAATCTACTTACTATTTATTTTATGTTTTGAAGCTAAAGTTTACCCTCAGATTGTGCATCCTCTGATTATTCAGAACATTCTGTGATTCTCTATACAATACAATGAAACACTAATTTGAAGTTTTTTAAATAACTCCTATTAGCTTGGTTGGCAATGAATCAGTGAAGTCTCTGCTCTCAAGTAGCTAGCAGCCTTTTAACTTGAGCCCTCTGCTCAATTTTTCAAAAGCATTATTCCTGGAAAATGGGAATTATAGTCTTCAAAGCTAGGTTCTTCTCATTTATTTCCCTTGAAAATTATGTTTTTCAGAAAATTAAAAAAAATACGTGTGATAGCCTAAGGCTTGTTCATGCTTCATACATTCCCGTAGCGTGTACACTGTTGGACAGAAAAGGTCCCTAAATATATTTATACTAGAATCCTACTCATGCTAAATAGACATCAGAAGAAAATGTAGGTGCCATCCACACTAGGTGGTGAGTCATTTGTGGGTGAGCGTGTGCAAAGCCATGAGCAGGGGGAAGCTAGCCAGGTTGCGAGGGATCCCTGATGGCTGTCCTCAACTACAGGCAGCCCTAGCCTAGCATCGGCTCCTCCACACTTGGCTCTAACCTCTGGTACCAGCCCATGTTGTGGTGGGGCTACACTTTCCTGCTGTTTCCTCTGCTGGCTCCCCTCCTGGGCCACCCTGCTGGTGACTCCCAGCGCATACTCCGTGCGTACTCCCCACTCACTCGAGTGCTGGTGACCCCCAGCGCGCACTCCCCACTCGAGTGCTGGTGACTCCCAGCGCGCACTCCCCACTCGAGTGCTCTGTTCATTCTGTCGCACTGTGAGACTATAGAACCAATTATTCTGTGTCCAGAATTCTGGGAAAGGGGAAGAACTGTCCAAAAGAGAAGCGAACCAGGCAGGCAGAGTCCTATTTTAAGTTATTGCATTTTACGTATCAGCAACTTGTCTTCCCATCAGGTTACGAAGTTCACGGGATGGAAAAGATACCGGAAGGACCAGCGCTTATCATTTTTTACCATGGAGCAATTCCCATAGACTTTTACTACTTCATGGCTAAGATTTTCATCCACAAGGGCAGAACGTGCCGAGTAGTAGCTGACCACTTTGTCTTTAAAATCCCAGGTAAAACTTAGCTGTGTGTAATGATCAGATTGTGTGGCAGTGTGACCTTAGTGTTGTTTAGCAAGTGTTTGCCAAGCCAGGCAGTGGTGGCACATGCCTTTAATCCCAGCACTTGGGTAGCTGAGGCAGGTGGATCTCTGAGTTTGAGGCCAGCCTGGTCCACAGAGCGAGTCACGAGATAGGCTCCAAAATAACACAAAGAAACCCTGTCTCAAAAAAAAAAAGAAAAGAAAAAATTAAAAAAGGCATGTTTGCCTCTTAAGGATAACAAATTTGAAAACATGTAATTATCCAGTTTAAGGCCTGAACTGACCTTGAGTGGGTAATCCTTCCTTAGCTTCTTAAGAATCCTGGATTTCTAGATGTGGCCACCTCTGCTGGCTCTAATTATCCCCCCTCTTCCTCCCTTTTCTTCCACACTGACTCCGATTATTCTCTTCCTCTTTCTCCTCCTCTTTTTGTTTTGTTTTTGGCTCTACTGGGGATTGATCCCTGGGGATGAACATTAGGAGGCAAATGCTCTCCCACTGAACTACAGCCCTCTGGTCCTATTTCCTGCTGGTTACCCAGCCTGGCTCTCAGCCTGGTTTCTAGAGTAAGCCTTCTGCCTCAGACCACCAGGCAGGCGGACTGCAAACATATATGCCCCAAGAACAGGCTTAAGTCTTGAATTTTGTTTCCTTATTGTGATGGTGCTGATGGGATACTAGGCACCTGCTCTGTTTTCAGCTATATCCCTAACCCAAATCTTGAACTTTCAAGTAGAATTTTTAAAAAAGATACATAATTTTGTATACAAGGTAGTTAAAATTTCATATTTTTTGTAAGATAATTTTTTCTTGTTTAATTCTGCTAAAGTTTAATAGCAAATCAAAATTAGAGAAAAAGTATACAGACTGTGTTTGTCCTCACTGTCCTAAAGAGTATCTCATCTAGTCTGTGAGCTGCCTCATGGACTCATGCTCTTGAGGATGAGGACTGCATTTTAAGTCTACTCATAATAAATAGCTTTATAGTTTTTAAGTTACTCGAATTGTTTAAGATAAAGTAGTTCTTTTTTTTTTGTTTTAAAAAAACCAACTCATTGAATCACCTTACTGAAGATAAATCTTATTTTCTTTCATCACTAAATCATTAGAAACAAGCCAAGAGAGTTGATAGTATGCTCTCTGGAATGCTAAAGGCAGAGCTGGCCCAGCAAGCAGACTCAAGCCCAGCAGCAAGTTAAGGACCAGCCTACTCCAGTGCCTTCCATATATATGGTTAGTGCGTTAGTCTGTGCCGAAACCCCCATTTCTACTTTGTGTATACGCTAAATCAGATGAGACTTTCCTCCAGAAAGAGCGATGACGTTCTGCAGATTGGGACCAGAGGATATTAGAATCACACTATAACTAGTTATTTTGATTTCTTTAAGTGACATTTTCACACACTTATAATTTTGTGGGTTTTATGCTCCCAAACGATTTAATGGTAAGCATTACTGTCTTACAATGCCTTCTATGCTTGTCCGGTTCTGGAGGTTAAAGCTAGGGCCTTCCACATGCTAGCCAAGCAGTTGAACCTCTGAACCACACCCCAGCCAAGGACAGTTTTAATATCTGGCACAAGTGTTGGCTTCACTATTGTTCTGTTATAGAGCATGGGTTTGCTTTTAGCTTTTCCTTTTCCTAAATAAGAAAACTGAACATTTTTAGGTTTTTCAAAACATTTTTCCTCCATGCCCATACCATATTTGACACTGGTTTACCGTTAGTCATTTATTTTAATTCTCAGTGCAAGAGGGAAATTCTGTGTTCTACCTTCCCTCAGTTCTCTCTGAGAGTGCACCCAATTCGTTCAGTCAGGTGCTGGTGCCAGGTGAGCACTGGTCCAGTTTTCGTGACATCTCTAATGTTGGTTCTGCTCTGCAGGGCACTGGGAAGCAATGCTAGTCTGCCCAGCTCTAGGACCCATCCGTGTCCTCAGTCTCAAGCAGGAAAACACAGAAATCACATAAAGTTCCACTGCAGGGTTTTTATTACTTTTCATTGACAGGATGTCTTTCATGCAGGGATAGTCATAGTGTGAAAGGTTATGTGATGCTAAGGTTTGAAATTATCTCTTCCTGGATCGAATACCCTTCCTCAGTTGATTCAAATTCTCAGCGATACTTATTCGCTGTTGTTATAAAAATTTAATTGTAGGATTAGCATCATCTAACTTTTTATTTCAATAGATTTGATTATAGTCTTAGCTAATTTTGGTATGTCTGAATGTAGTCAGATTTACATTCTCTCAGGTGATTCTATGTTGCAGGGTTAGTGGGAGATTAAGGTTTGGATTGCTGATGAGCCATCATCTCTGATTGTTTTAACAGTACTTGAGACTGAAAGTCAGTGGCAGGCACTTAGGACTGGCTATAGCACAGTGGGAAAGTCTATTGTGTGACTTGGAATATACTACTTAGCCTTTAAGCCTGGCTTTTGTCATTTGTAAAATGGGGAGAACAATCTCTGTTTTTCATGATAAGGTTTTAATTAAGAATTTGAAAATGTAAGGTAGCCATAGTAAGGAGGTGATCAGACAGGAAATAATCAATAGTAGGTGATCAGTAAGATATATATTACTTCATAAGTGAAACTGGTCTTGTACTTTAAGAGCTAGTGGCTTAAGAAAGTTTATAAAAGTCTAGCTAGTAGATAGCATAGATCTTGATGAGTTTTGCTCTTAAATGACTAGAACAAGGTAAAGATATATCTTTGTGCTTATGTTTTTTACAGGGTTCAGTTTATTACTAGACGTATTTTGTGCTCTTCATGGGCCAAGAGAAAAATGTGTTGAAATCCTGAGGAGTGGCCACTTGCTGGCCATTTCACCAGGAGGAGTCCGAGAAGCCTTGCTGAGTGATGAAACCTACAGCATCATCTGGGGTAACCGGAAAGGCTTTGCACAGGTCGCCATTGATGCGCAAGTGGTGAGTCACACCGAAGTCCTTGTTCAAGCAGATGCTTAAAGGTGGACCGACGTGTACGAAGACAGCATCTTTCCTCATAATAAACTTGCTGTATTAACAATTTATAGGGATATATCAAAAGAACACTATTCCTTATGCATAAAAAGCCATCTTTAAAACCAAAAAAGTGATCTGGAAATTTGGCAAGTATCCAACAAGGTTTAATTTTTTTTTTCAGTTGGAAATTCCACTTTCTTTATTAGATTTGTGATTCTATACACAGTCCCACCATTCTTTCAGTTATTATTATTTTTTTGAAATGACATAGTCAGCTCATCCTGTGTGTTTTAAACCTTTGGTAACTTTGGCACGATGAGTTGATGTGTTTCATGGGTGAATTTGGTTCTTTTTTGTGTAATCACTTTTTATAACAACACAAGTGCTGGCCGACTGATGTCATTTTTCATTAAAAACGACCAGCTATTTTATAGTATAATGATAGGAAATGGATAGCGGTGTAATTTAGACATTTTAAAAGCGCTTTTCAAATGAATTCATCAATAAAATTAAATGGACTTGGGAGACCCCTGTAATTACTGTACTTCCCAGACCGAGTGGTGTGAATGTGCTTTTGGTGTTTTCTTTTGCCTTTGGAAAGGGTTCCTTAGTCTTTTGCTCTCCATGGCCTGAGGAGCTGTGTCCTGAGGAGTGCTTTCTGTCAGAAGGGGATATTGCTGCCCCTCACCGGACTCTTGTTCTTTCCTCCAAGCCAGGAGGTTGAGCCAGCTTCAGTAACTTAGCTTTTCAGGTTGCTGTCGTTAGGAAGACCAGCCTACATCTTTGGTCTGACTCTGCATCATGTAAATGTAGACTTTGATTAAAAAAGAAAGATTGTGGGTAATTCATTCTAACTAAAGAATAGTATCAAAGGAGAATGAATAGTTTTATATTTGAATTACAAAGTTTACAGCAAAACAAAATACTCCAAAGCACTCTTTTCTCTCCTGGAAGTCATTGCTATAGTGCTCTACTATGGTCTCCTAGTTCAAATAAATCTACTTCCTAACTTTTTAAATAACACATGCTTAAACATCACAGTCCTTCAGTAGATAAGTTCTTTAAATAACATAACTTTCTATTTAAATCCGTTGTGCAGTGGTCCACTTTGAGTAGGCTTTAAGTATTTGTGGAATTAACTGCTTCTTCTTTAAACACAAATTACTCAACTCAGCAAAAAGCTTTTTAATTTACTCATGCATTTGTTGCTAGTAATAAAGAAAATCGACTGATGGTGCCCATTTCCTAAGTTTTTGTAAGCACAGATGTGGGAACTGGAGTGGTGGACTGTGAGAAATAGGGGATGCAGGGAGCTGCTTGCAGCTGTGTGAAACTAAGATGATCAGTGAAACATAGGATAGCAAGAATAAAATCCTAATCTAAAACAACACGTTGACTTTTTTTTACATTTATATTTTGAAAGCTTTATAGATTTCAGATAAAGATAACAGAATAGTTTGAATCTTACAAGTTTATCTTGGAGTTCTAAGTCTTCATCTTTGAAGCAGGCTATTGCTTAGGAGACCTGGAAAGCAGGAATGGCGGAAGAGCTGCATAGAGTCTCGAGTCTCTCGGTAGCTTATGATAAGCTAGATAATTCAATTAAGTTTTTTTTTTGTAAAATTCCAAATATTTAAGAAAGAGCTGTATATAAATTTAAATAAATGCAACATTTTAATGCTGTTAATTTACCAATAACGTAAGTCCTACAAATAGTTTGCAGCACTTTTGAAGTTTGTCTGAGGGCTCTATAGAATCAGGATGTAACTTGTAATATTCTAATGCTGTAGTTCTCAACCTGTGTGTTGCGACCCCTTTGGGGGTTGAACAACCCTTTCTCAGGGGTTACTTAAGACCATCGGAAACCACAGATACTTGCATTATGATTTGTGACAGAAACAAAATTATATTTATGGAATATCAACGAAAATAATTTAATGGCTTGGGGTCACCACAGCGTGAGGAGCTATTAAAGTGTTGCAGCATCAGGAAGATTGAGGACCACTGTGGTAAAGGTCTCAGTGTTAGGGAGGCTGTGGACCACTGTGGTAAAGGTCTTAGTGTAGGGAGGCTATGGACCACTGTGGTAAAGGTCTCAGTGTAGGGAGGCTGAGGACCACTGTGTTAAAGGTCTCAGTGTAGGGAGGCTGAGGACCATTGTGTTAAAGGTCTCAGTGTTAGGGGGGCTGAGGACCACTGTGTTAAAGGTCTCAGTGTAGGGAGGCTGAGGACCATTGTGTTAAAGGTCTCAGTGTTAAGGGAGCTGAGGACCACTGTGGTAAAGGTCTCAGTGTTAGGGAGGCTGAGGACCACTGTGGTAAAGGTCTCAGTGTTAGGGAGGCTGAGGACCACTGTGGTAAAGGTCTCAGTGTTAAGGGAGCTGAGAACCACTGTGTTAAAGGTCTCGGTATTAGGGAGGCTGAGGACCACTGTGTTAAAGGTCTCAGTGTTAGGGAGGCTGAGGACAACTGTGGTAAAGGATCTCAGTGTTAGGGAGGCTGAGGACCACTGTGGTAAAGGTCTCAGTGGTAGAGAGGTGAGGAAAACTTAAAAAAAACTTATACAGTTGAAAATGATAATAATTATCGCTTAATAGACCAAACCAAATTTCCAAAAGTGCGAGAAAACACTTAAAACTATGGAAGTATGATTAGCTGTGTTTAAAAAGGAACAACTGGAAAAGCACTTGTTTAGTGTGTTCCAGGCTTGGGAGATTTCCCAACAAATGCCACTTCCCCCAAAATAATTTAAAAAGTAAGCTGGACATGCTGAAAGAAATAAAAAGGGAATCCAATTGTAGTTCACAAAATATCAGCAGAAAATATCTAAAGGTCATTTGAATGGTACAGACTTTTATTTTTTTATTCTTCTCTCATATATTACATCCCAACCGCAGTTTCCCTTCCTCCGAGCTTCCCACCACCTCCTTTCTCCTCCAGATCGGTCCTCCGCTGTTTCCCTTCAGAGAAGGGCAGTCTGGGACAGATTCTTTTTTTTTCCTTTTTGGTTTTTCGAGACATGGCTTCTTATTTTGTGGATTCCTGAAAGTATTTAGGTAGTTCCACATCTAGGTTTGGGCAAATTTAATTAATTAGAAATAAATAACAAATATAAAAGAAAGGAATGTTGTATTTAAAAATTATTTGTGTTATTTCATTTTATCCATAAAAATTTTTGAGATAAAGGTAATTATAATTTTCCCCACTCTTCACATGAAGAAAGTAAGGCTTGGATTTGATCATCAACTTGTTTAGTGTTTGCTCTGTTCTTAGTAGCCAAAGTAGGACTCTGTAATCATGCTAAATTGATGTCCCCAAAATAGTTTTACAAATCTGTACACTGTGTACATACATAGAGAACAATGTGGACATAGAAATAATAAATTCTCTATTACTTATGCAGCTGTCTTGTGTACAAATGTGTACAAGGAAAGGGTTAAATGACTGTACACAATCAAGTTGTAGTAAGTTAGTGCTGTATCTTTAAGGATTGAAGCTTGATGCACTTAAAAACCATACGTCCAGATTAACATGGAAGACTGAGCCAGCTCAGGCAAGCGTTCTTCTATGAAGTGGCTTCTAGAATGTTCTTCTGCAGAAGTTTAGCTATTTTGGGAATGGTGTTGAACTTGAATCATCTTCATGAAGTGCACACTTTAATACAGGCTTTGGGGACCATGCCTGTCTGTAGATACCGCCAGCAGTTCCAGTCATGGGAGAAATCAGTATCTGTGAGCTGGAAGGGTTTCTGTTCCTCCCGTGCATCCTAAATTCTCAATTCTGGGAATGTAACTTTTAAAACACTAGGATTTCAGCCATTTCACTTTACAAAACTTGTCACCTTAGATAGTAGTGATTTTTTTTTTTTTACAAAAGAATTCAGTGTTCATTATCATCTCTGTGCCGTGCTTTCATGAATTAACCTCATTTTACAGTTGACAGCTGTGTCTGCTTGTTGGCATCGCTGCACAGTCGTCAGGACCATCGTCTTTCTGTGTGTGCTCATTCCTCCCTCAGTTCTTCCATAACTTCCTTTTGTCTCATCTGTTCCAGGTGCTTTTCTAAGTGCGAGGGGCACAGCAGTGAACAAAGCATTAGGTGTCCCTGAGCTATGTTAGATGTCTTCCCTCCGCTGAGAGGGACAGCAGGTGATGGGCTAGTTCATTGTGAGGACAAGTTGTGTTTTCTTCTGCCCAGTGAAGTGAGTGAAAAAGACTTAGAATATCATTATTTTTATCTAAGACCCTGCTTATAACGGTGTGGAACTTCATGAACATGTGTATACACACATGTATATGTAGTCTTATCTATTCTAAACATTCAGTTCAGTGTATTTGTTTATATATGAAAGTATTTTATCCAATTTTGATATATTTTACTGTTTAAAATAGCATGACCTTCCTATATGATGCTTTATGATATTGCATTATTTTATGACATTGACCTAATATTTCCATTATCAAATATCACATTTAACCACTGATGTTCATGGACTATCCTATAAACTTGTTATCTAAAAATCTTCAATTTATACACTTTTTAAAAATTTTTACACATACTTTCTGTTGATTCTGAACAGTTTAGATTTGGCGGGCTCACAAAAAAATGTATTACTGATTTCATGAGAACATCTTGCTGAAGCCTATCCTTTAAATTGATATAAACTTTCCCTTTGTCTTAGTTACTTTTCTGTTTCTGTGACCAAATGCCATGCTGAAGGTAACTTATAAAAGAGAGCATTTGATTTGGGACTCACGCTTCCTGAGGGTTACAGTCTGTGACCATCAGGGCAGGGAGCATGGTGCTGGAGAAGGAGCTGAGAGTTCACATCTGATCTATAAGCTGGAAACAGAAAGCTCACTGACTGGCCTGGGCTTTTGAAATCTCAAAGCCCACCCCCAGTGACACACCTCCTCCAGGAAGGCCACACCTCCAAATCCCTCCAATGCAGTTTCATTCACTGGAGACTAAGCATTCAAATACCGAGCCTGTGGAGGCCATTTTTAACTAACCACCACACTCTTCAAAGTAACTTCTTCATCTCGTAACTTCCTTAATGAGCATATTATTTAGGAATGAGTTAAACTAATTTACCACATTCACTTTACTTAATGAAATTAATGAGTATGATAATCCTCGTGAGTTTCAAGGGTTTATATATAAGGAAAATCAATAGATAAAATATTGAATGTTGCAGCTAAAGAATAGTCTTTCCAATTTATATTCTTATAATGATGAAGTCAAATTTAGTCTGATAAATCATACCTTAGATATGCCTCTGGTTTTAAAATCTATTTTTAGTATTTCATATGTGCCTTTAAAAAAGTTGCCTTAGTGACTCAGTGGAGACCTTAAGTGTATTTATTTATTTATTTACTTTTCAATTCAAATTCTTTTCTTTAGCCCATTATTCCTATGTTTACACAAAATATTCGAGAAGGATTTAGATCACTTGGAGGAACAAGTAAGTTCTCATTCCTATGGTTTTTAATTATAGTATAATCTTTAAAACATTAGGCGTTTTGAATACTATTAGGAAAACTTTTGATTTTTTTTTTTTTTTTTTTTTTTGGGGGGACAGGTTCTCACTGTAGTTCTGGCTGTCCTACAACTCCCTAGACCAGGCTGGTCCCAAACTCAGAGAGTCCGTCTTTCTCTGGACCTCCCAAGTACAGGAATTAAAGGCATTGCTACTATGCCTGGTGACTTTTGATTTATTAATTTTAGAAAATGAGTATTTAGATAACTGTTCTCCATAAACTCTGAGTGATAATTGGTTCTGAGTAATGGCAGTTATATTTTGCAGGGACTGGGGACTGAGACTAGATCTTCCCATGTAGCCAGGCTGGCCTCAAGTTTGTGATTTTCATGCTTTAACCTCCTGAGTTTCTGGTAGACATTATACTTTTGATAGGAGTATTATACACATATTAAAGTTTATTTGAATGGGCTTTTTAAAACTTCAAAGCGATTCATCTAATATATTGTGTTAAAATATGTTGATAAGATTTAGAAAACATATACTGTCTACTGAAGAAACTAGTTTTAAAATGGAATGACCTACATATTAAACTAAGATTGCCATCAGAGGAGATAGGGATGTCATTTGCTTTGGTTTGTCTTATTACTTAAAAAAATGATAAACTATAATATGTTTATATTGATATTTTCTCTTATCTGTCTGTAGTTTACTAATTAAAAATTCACTTTTAATATAGTTGTAAGAATAAAAATTAGGATTTTTTTCCTTTAAAATGTCTCTTATTTTGGAATGTTCAGCTTGTTTTTGGCTTGTGATTTATATATTATGTTCAGTTGAATACATTTTTGTAACTGTTGCTGTCCCTAGCCACATAAACCCTTAGCAAGCCTTAAATTGCTGTTGTTTTAATGCGTTTCTTATATTTAACTTTGGAAATTATTTCTAATTTTTTGTTAATCTTTTAAAATAGCAAATCAGAATTTATTACAGAAATTCTGTTTCTTCAATTATGAGTTATTTTCAAAATTTTATTGACTGCTTTTCAGCTTCACTTAAAGTGCAGTATCTCTAAATTAAATGTCTATTATCTTCTTCCTTTTCCCCTTCCCCTTCCCCCCACTCTTTCTTATCTACTTATTTTTGATGCAGAGTTTCACTGTTGCAACCTTGGCTGGCCTGAACTTGTTAATAGACTAGGCTGCCCTTGACCTCTCAGAGATCCACCTACTTCTGTCCTCCTCCCCACTGGTGCTGAAATTATAGGCATACATCATCATACCTAGCTAATTTTAATTTTTTTTGAGTGTTACTTTGGGTGTGACAGTAATTTTTCTGTTTCTGTACCTAATTAGTGTTTTCAATACATAACTGTATTTTGTGAAACTTACCGTTTTGGATTCCATTGTTGCTGTTTTTGTTTTTTAAGCTTCTCTCTTACTCATCTTTAATACCTTTAAATTCAGTCCTGCTGAGTTAGATATGCTATCTCTGTAAGGCTAGTGTGGTGTCTACATGCTGGGCCTTCACTGCCTCGCCTTTGTCTTTGGTACTCGTAGGTCTCTCGCTCTGCGTCCTAAAGGTTCCCAGGTCTGCCGGCACTCGTCAGCCTTTGTCCTGTTTCTTTTGAGATTCTTAAATCTTTAAAATGTTTCTTGGTTTTTAATGAACTGATTTGATTTTCTCTTTTATTTTTAAATTATAGAAAAAACTGAGTACAAAGTACAGAAAATTCTTGTATGTCGCTTCAGCGGTCTCTAGACTCAGTCCTCACGAGCACATCACACCAGTACGTGATGAAAAGCTTCCCTTTAGGAAAGGCTGTGCTGGTTATGTAGCTTATATACTAATATCTGTATGTATGAGGCACTGGATTCAGCCCCCAGCTTCAGAATACACACACAGACACACACACACACTGCCACACTGCTATGAATTGTAGCAAGTCTTGTGTAATTAATTAGAAAGTTTACAGTTATATGCACAGCACATTTGGCCAATAAAAATGATTTTGCTTACTTTGAAACAGGATTATTTAAGTGGCTTTATGAAAAATTCCGCTATCCATTTGCTCCAATGTATGGAGGTTTTCCTGTAAAGTTACGGACCTTCTTAGGTGATCCCATTCCATATGACCCAAAGATAACAGCCGAAGAATTAGCTGAAAAGGTAATTTGTGTGTTCTTTATTAGTCTTAGGACAGATTTTATTTTAATTATTTGAAATGTCATTGTTTATGTATTATATGCCAGAGTTCTCCAACAGTGGTTTTGCCCCATTGGGGACATTTTACTGACATGAAAGAGTGTGGGTGGGGGCGACTAGAGACATTTAGTGTTCAGAAGCCAGGGATATATTTATAGGCACCTGAAGGATGACATATGTTTCTGTGTCTAAATCTTTAATAGTAAGAATGAGAAAAGGCCAGAAGTGATGCTAAAGACATAGAATTCTGTCAGGTGCTGTGTGTGACTGGAAGCCTTGAGGCTTACCAGCAGAGAGTAAGCAAACACGATTTGAGTAGCATAAGTTAGTGAGGATTCTTCAAATGTTGGAGTGATCAGTAATCTAGCAAGCAGATGAAGAGTCATGAGGATGAGAAAAGACTACTCAGCTTGGAATTTAGCTTTGAAAGAGTCTAAAATTATGAAAACGGAGCCATAACCTGGCCTGGCTCCTGCTAGGCAAATGTTCTACCACTGAACTACGTCCCTTGCTATGTGTGTGTTTTCATTAGAACTTTTGTACCAACCTATATATACTATAGTAGTGAGGTGAGGGGAGGTTCATTTAAAGCATTTTGAACTATGATGGACACTATGTAAATTTGCTGGGCATGGTGATACACCATTAATATGATACTAACTACAGCTCTGAGGGGAAGGGGGAGAGGTAAGTGGAGCTCTGTGAGTTTGTAACCAACCTGGTCTATATAGTGAGCCCCTGTCTTGGTCAAAACAAAATGAAATAAAACAAAAGAAAATAAAATAGATATACTTATAGTTTAGTTCTGTTAAATACATCCATGTTGTTGAACAGAGGCTATCTTGAGGATTTTTACCATGAAAAGCTGGGTCTGCTCCCCCCCGAGCACCATCTTCCCATTTCTCCCTCTGCTAAGTCACTGACGAGGCCCAAAACCTGAAACACTAAAATGGCTAGAAGAAAACATAGGCGAGGGCTGCAAGATCTGTGTGGGAGAGAAGTTCCTTTCTACAGGATGATGGGTGTGTACTGAGGCTGAACCAACAGTGCCTTTTCTTTTGTTTTTTAACTAGACCAAGAATGCCCTTCAGGCTTTGATTGATAAGCACCAAAGGATACCGGGCAACATCAGGAGTGCTCTGCTGGACCGCTTTCACAGTGAGCAGAAGGCCGATTGAGAGACAGTGTAATGAATCTCTAGTGACGAGCTCACAGCTGCAGTACTGTCTTAAATTTTTGTAGGTTGTATAATAGTGTTTTTAAAGCATCATGTTAATAAGTATCTTTCTTAGAACTTGTTTATTTAAATTTATATTGTTATCCTTGTCCTTTCAATCAGTTATGTCAAATTTATAAGTAACTCATCACTTGCCTGACTATAAAGTGATCATGTTGCATTTGCAATCTTTAGTCGTATATGATAAGCATAGAGTCTTAGCATTAAGTCTTTCTTGATAATTATGTCTGCTGTGCCGATCTGATCATAAGGTGCGCATGCATTAGGTGTATTACTGGCTGAATTTAGGTGGGAGGTGCCTGTGTCTGTCTGTCTTCATTCCATTCACAACTGCGGGTAAGTTGTGGAATGCTTTCGTACCTCAGGGGCGGTGTAAGCATGATAATATTGTGGTGATGAACATGACTTTGACTTGCTTATGTCTACTGTGCTATCTGTGGTGTGAGAGATAGAACTGAACTGAATCCTCAAGGAGTTAGGTACATTTGTTTTTGTCCATTGGGTGTAACAATTCCTTCAGGTATGATGTCCAGTTGCCAAGCACATTGAAAGAGCTGCACTGTTTTATAAATCAAGACATTGTTATTTGTAGTATTTATTTACTGAACTCTTTAGTATTTATTTAAACAAGTATCTAAGTAAACATATAGTCTAAGATGTCAGCATGGTGTTTTATGGGGTAAGGATAGAATCACGGTCACATTCCGAAGTTCACGTTAGAAGCTGATTCTAGGCTGACGAATAAGGAACAGGAAAGCACTGATTTTGCTTAATATTCTGGTTTGTTTTGCTGTGCTCTGCAGCCAGTCATGTGGCTAACTATTTCACTAAAATGTACTTGAGTGATGAATTTCTGTAAACAAGGAGCTCTCTGAAAATGTAATGGCATTTGATTTGTTGTCTCCCTAAAAACTGATTTTAAAAGTATTTAAACAGCAAAGTATCATAAATCCTCTGCAGTATGTCTCTTTCCATCTTTGTAGTACTTGGGTTTTATATGAACTTTTTAATCACAAGTGTATATTTATGATATATATATAAATATATAAAATGTATATAGAAATGATGTAAAAAATAAAGGTGAATTGCAAATCATTCTCTTGTGAAATTGTGTGTGTGAGACATCATTTAAAATAATGTTTTGTTTTACTCTCCTTTTTTCTTACGAATCATATTTTTTTCTTTTCTTTTTTTTTTTTGGTTTTTGAGACAGGGTTTCTCTGTAGCTTGGGCCTGTCCTGGAACTAGACTTGTAGACCAGGCTGGCCTCAAACTCACAGAGCTCCGCCTGCCTCTGCCTCCCGAGTGCTGGGATTATTGAATTATATCTTATTTTAGCCACAATAAATGTGTGATATACTTCCCATATAGTCAGTATATTTCAGAGCAATTTCAGTGAAAGGAGCAAGCCAATAAGCAGGCTTCTGCTTCAGTTCCTGACTCCAGGTTCCTACCTGTGGCAAACATTCCACGCCACGGGGTCTGCATCACCACCCACCAAGTATAGACTGCGACTCCATATTTTTCACGAGCTGAGTAAGGTCCTAGGGGTTAAAACACAAGACGTACACACAGACAGAGAGTTCGAGTCATTCTCCAGGGAGAGAATGCCCGTTTATTTAAACTTAATCTGGGGTTAAAATACCCTTTGGCCCCAGTAACGGAAACCCCTCCCAGCCAGAGGGGGATCGGGAAGCTGGCTCCGAGTGAGCTTCTCCACAGGCAGGTGGGCGAGGCATGTAGGGCAGTGTCAGACAGGTGAGAGGTACCTTGACGCCTGGGATCTTCCAGGTAGGTTGAGAAATTACTATTTTAAAGTGATATAGAGCCCTAGGCTATAATACCTAGAGCAGAGCAAGCACGGAACTTAGCAGGAAGCTTTAGCTGGTTGCCAAAACAGTCCTTGATTTGCACCTCGAGAGGCAGGGGAAGGCCGGGCCTTACACCTACCCAGCCTGAGTACCTGTCCTGATTTCCCTCAGTGATAGAACACAAGGTGTAAGATGAAGTAAATACTTTCTTGCCCAAGCTGCTTTTGATCATGGTGTTTTATCATAACAATAAAAACCCTAATATACCTTAAAAACAGCTTGCTGGTCTACAAATTTAATTGACACCAACATCAAGATGTGAGTACAGATCTCACCATATGATGGCTCCTTCCTTTTAAGACTACCTCTACTTCAGATGCCAGACAAAATTGTGGTCTCCCGTGTACCCTTCTGCCCGTCCAATAGCTCACTTAAAAGGTTTTCGTAACTTTCCTAGAGTAGCTCACAGAACTCAGGAAGTGGCTATACTGATTTCATTATAAAAGAAGCCATGCAGGAGATCATCAAGATGGAAGAGTACGCTGAGAATTGGGTTGCAGAGCCTACAAGTCCTCTGGTTGTTCTCCCTGTCCAGTGCACCCTTGTCCACACCAGTCTCGATTCCCCCAGACTTCATGATGGAGTTACTGAGTTACAGGCTAAAGATGTTTGAAATCTGCTTATAAACTGTTGCTGGAAGGGGCCGCTTGTTTGTCCCAGCTGCCCAGAACTGAAATAATCACACAGAAATTGTATTAATTAAACACTGCTTGGCCCATTAGCTCTAACTTCTTATTGGCTAATTCTTACATCTTAATTTAACCCATCTCCATTAATCTGTGTATCACTACGTATCCGTGGCTTACCAGAGATTCTAATGGTCATCCATCTCAGGCGGAGGATCCATGGCTTTTGACTCCACCCTTCTTTCTCCCAGCATTCACTTCTGTCTTCCCTGCCTACCTAAGCTCTGCCCTATCAAGAGGCCATGGCAGTTTCTTTATTCATTAATGGTAATTCCAGCACACAGGGTTCTCCCACATCAATAACCCTGTCCATCTGCCGAGGTTGGGATGGAGGAAAGTACTTACTCTCATGATTGTCCTTTTCATAGCCAGCTGTTTTCCTGAGGCTCAGTATGGATCCTCTGCTATGAATTGGCTCATTAACATGCAAGAGATATTTCTGTTTAGGAAATTCTTAGTGTTTTGAAAGTTCTGCCTATGGGGGTGCACACCTGTAATCCCAGGACCGAAGAGGTTGAGGCAAGATAAAAAAGAATTGAGGCCAGCCTAGTTTACATTAGGCTCTGTCCCCCAAATTGAAAATACACACACATATCAAACTAACAAAGATTATATACATATATTTATATATTTGTATATATGTGTGTATGTGTAAATATATAGATACGGAAGTGTATTTCCTGTAACATCAAAATGTTTTCTTGTCTCATTCATGTTATGGCATGCTAAATTTTTTCCTGTCTTATGGCTTAAATATCCATTGTCTGTGTACCCTATATCTTATTCATCTGTTGGTGTATATTTGGATTATTTTAGCCGCTCAGTGACTGGATACTATGTGTGGATGTTGCTATACAGGCTTGATTCTCTACCTTTAATTCTTTTAGGTTAACACTGTTGTTCCTGGAACAATAGTGACACGAAGTCATGGGAATAAAAGTATTTAGCCGAGGATGGAGGGAGGGTATGACTCAGTGGTAGACGACTTGTCTAGCACACACAGGGCGCAGTCTACAGTAGTGGGAGGGTGCTGTGCTAGCTTGAATGAGAGCGGCTCCCATAGTTTCACATAATTGAATGCCTGGTTCCCATTTGGGAAGGATTAGGAGGTGTGTAAACTTGTTGGAGGAGGTACGTTACTGGGGGTGGACTCAGGTTTCACAAGCCCACACCAGTCCCAGTTAGCTCTCTCTACCTCGTGCTCGTGGATGGAGATGTGAACTCGCCGCTCCTTCTCTATTGGCATGCCTTACCTGTCTACTGCTATGCTCCCCAACGTGACAGTCGTGCACACATCACTGTGCCTAACTTTTGTTGCTGACTCTTAGGAATCACATTCTGGTCCTTGTGCTTCAGTGACAAGCATTTTATCAACTGATCTGTCTCCTTGCCTCAGTTTTCTTCCCCCCTCCCCCCTTTTCTACTGTTTTAACAAAACACACAGCGCTTAATTTGGGGCTCACAGTTCCTCCAAAGAAGATGGATGCGCAAAGAACCTTCATCCGGAACTTGCTTTGAATGTGGCAGCACCAACCACTGAACAAAAGCTGTCTTTAACCTTAACTGCTGCAGAGACCCTCTTCAGTCTGTGGACAGCAGAATGCTGAGGAACTGACTGCTTAGAGTTGCCTAGACAAAGGTAGGCTGGTTCTCCCACAAGTTCCCAGTCCACAAGAAGTCTGTTGGACCTTCTGGGGCCCGGTAGGCCTAGACCTTTCAGCTGAAGATTGATGTGGCCCCGAGACCTCTGTCCTCAAAGACGATGAAGAACCCTCCAGTAGCTGTCTAGGTAGCCAACAAGTAAGTCTCTGTCATTTTAATCGCTCACTCAGGTATAAGTGATCCTTCTCAGAACTCTGAAGCTGTTTGATGACTTGGCTAGAGGTAGCTCCGTCAGTTTCGCAGCAGCAAGCAAGGCTTTAGCTTTCCTTCTCAGGTCTCTGTGAGATTCAGGTCACAGGCCTCACTCTCCTAAGCTGAAACACCGTTTACTTCGTTACCAGACTCAGAAAAGAGATAAACTCACACAACAACTTTCAGAGAAACTTCTTACCAATCCCTTGCTTTGCAGTGAATCCGTGGTCAGCCTCCTTATCTCCTGGTGAATTAGAAGGCCCTTTAAGGTTGTTTATGTGAAGATAGGAAAACTTCCTCGGTGATAAGGAGGAAGTGATTTGAGATGTATAGAAAAGAATGAAACTGTGTTTCAGACTCCTCTTTCTCGCTGTTGCTGTCTATAACGTAAACACTGACCCATAAAATTCTGCTAGGCTGTTAATTTAGCTCTGAGAGTACTACCCTCTATACCATACCACTCTATTATCACAGCCACAAGCTCAGGATCTCAAATTCCCTTTGGTTGCTTTTTAATGCGTCTAAAACTTACCTCTTTCTGTAAACCTAAAAATTCTTGTGAGCTCCAGGGTCCACCCTAACAAGTCAGATTCCCTGGTCTTGGGACTCCCCTCCCTCAATTACCAGGATCTAAAATTTTTTCCCCTATACTTAACTTTATCCTCTGCTCTGTCAGCATCTTGCCAGGTCCAAGAGGCATCGGACTGTTTAACAGAGCCTGGGCAGCAGTACCGCAACAAGCTACCCCAGGAAGTGGCCAGCCTCCCAGTGTAGGGCCCTGTCTTCCCTATTCCTCGAGGCCGAAGCACAGGATGCAAGAATTGTTTACACTAACCAGCTTAGCTTCCCCTGTTCATTCTGCCAGCCGGAGGGAATTAGTTCAAAGCCTTGTTTCTGTCATTGCTATGATAATTTCACCTGCTAAGGAAGGTCCTCACAGGCGCCCTAAATCTCCTCCCATCTGTCTGTCAGGGTTCCCAGCTTGATACCCCCTACATGGAGGCTCAGGCCGCTGGCGCCATGCGGCCAACACCCCTCTTCTCACTCCCAGGTGGGAGGGGACTCTCGTCCTCTTGTCTCCAAGCATATAAGCCTACGTGTGCTAAATAAAGTTGACATTTACCCTTTGGGCAAATGATCCGGTCTCTCTGTGTGTCGGGTGTGTCTATTTTCAACTCCTAGGATATTGATCCAGAGTCGCGGTTCGGAATGGGAAGCGCGCCCTTTACCGAAGAGTGAGGTTTCGCAGATAAGCGCGGGACATCCCAGTTTTCTCAGATCCCCCAGGTCAGCAGAAAGCAGTTTCAAGAACTCAGTGCCCTCATTCCACTTCACCTGCTACCCCAACTCCTCACCTTATTATAATAAACAAAAGAATTGTCAGTATTCAGGCATTATGCTGGCCAGCCCTTGGTGGCCTAGCAGAAACGACTGCCTATGCGCATGTACTTGCTAGCATGCCAGGCATCATGTTAGTCTGCCCCAGGGTCCTCACCTGTAGCCACTAAGAGCATCCCCTGTGTGCATGTGCCGTCAGCATTCAGGCAGATAACTGACCAGTGCAGGGTCCTATGGCAACTACATCACCTCACAGTCCGTGTGCATGCACTAAGTCCCCTTTAAAAGCGAGCTCTCCCTATTTTCCCCCTCTGAAGAGGCAGGAAGGCCTTTGTGCCTCTCTCTT